CGAAAAAAATAAAAACGTATAAAAAAAAAACTCTTACAACAGTGCAACACCGTTATTGGACAGAAAGTTACTTTGAATGTTATATATGTGGATGTATCTTGTGAAAATACAACGGCATAATATATAGAATTTATAAAATGACGATTTATTTATTTATTTATTTTTTTTTTTAATAACATTTTTTTTTAATCTAAAGGAATAAGTGGGGTTTTGTTTACTTCAAATAAATGTGTACACTTCGATTTTGATCGAAATACGAGTACACTATATACATGTCTACATATTAATATTATTCCGATGAATTACAATGGTAAATACGTACCGTAAGTGATATTTGTTATATTCACTATATTCACTAACGACGTGTGTACTGCGAGTTGTATTATATTTTGAAAAATATAATCTCACAAGATTGAATTTAGCCTGTAGTATTTCGTATGTATTTACAGCGTCGAATACGCTTCGAAATCAAATAATTGTAGTTGTTTACTAGTTAATGTGGTATAAAAATCTTCACTCGGAACTGCTCGTGCAAGGGTTGTAGATGATTCGTAGAAATAAAATCGGCAAAAAATACGTGGTATGGTTTATGTGCACTTCGAATCATACAAGTTGTGGGGCTTTCTCAGTTCGTTTTCCGTATTTCCCATTCAACAAATACACCGAGTACGCAAAGTTTTCGATGCCATTACTTATTCGAAATATTTTACTGCACCCATCCGTTCCTGAATAGTTCGCAGGCGTTTGAATGATGGGCTCTCGTGTAAATTAGAAAAATATTTCTTCCTCTAAGTGTAATTCCTGAACATTGAATCATCTGATCGACGATCAAGCATTCGCTTCGGCGAAGAACTTTCTGGTGCAACTAAACTTTCTACTCCAATCGTTCCTCGAGGCGGAATGCTATCCCTTCTACTGTGCAACATAAATATGACACCGATCAATTTACCGTGCAATTCACACTGGTCGCTCACTATAAACCGATAGAAAAACTATAATATCCGTAAATTCCGGCGCCATTGGTTATCTAGATAGATTCCAGTCGTTCATCACGTTGTTCCGAAAACAATAATTGATATTTTTGAGAACGAAGCTCTTGCCCCAGGCCAATCGAAATGTCTCGAATTGCTTATGCTAGTACAAATGTGTCAAACAATGAATTGCAGTATAATTTATTTTATACTTTGAACAATTATAAGTTAAGTTGTGTTCATTGTCAAATGAAAGAAAAATAAATGTATAATTTAAAGACTACCTGATGACTAATAGTGACTATTTATTATCTTTTCAAAAACAATCATAGACAAACGAGACAAAGTGGTAAAAATTGTAAATCGTCTCGTGAAGTCTCATCGGTTAAGTTATTTTAAAGGCAAATATTTTACCTTTAATACAACGTAGTGAAAACATCAGTAGATCTTCTGCATCTGAACTGAAGTTCAACAGGTACATAATTAACTGAAAAAAAAAAGGCTCAATCAATTAATCAGTAAAGAAAAAACATCGAAAGAGGTGCATTTGTAATTAGTCTACGTTGTGAAGTAATTTTTCAAAATGCCAGTAATTATAAGCATTGTTTTTTGCAAAAAAAAAAAAAAACAAATAGACTGATTGCTCGCAGAGAAATAAATGACGGAACATGAGATACTTAAAAAAAAATATTTTTCTAAGAACATCAAACATTGGTCTGGAATTAAATTAAACTAAAATATATCTATTTATACCTAAATATAAGATGAGCTAAATGTTTAGTCTTAATTAATTTGTACAGTAAATTAATTTTAAGAAACCCTACTGAGTCGGTAAATTTCAATATAAAATAAAAGGCGTACTTGATTTTGCATATAATGTAATGCATTAAAGATAAAGAAAAGAAACTCGAAATAAAATATTTTCATTTTTAATTAAAAAAAAATAACAAATCGAATTTTCAAAATATAGACTATTTTTTTTTTTTTTAGATATAGAATGAAGTTTAACTGCAGAAATCGTAAAATTAAAAATAAATAATTCAAAAAATATGAATTTTTAATCACTCGTGGCAAATCTTGCTAAAAAGTAAATTTGCTTTTGCAATTGTTTAATCACTGGAATACAAAATAAATAAATAGTATTAGATAATAATAATAATAATAAATAGATAATAAATAGTATATAATAGTATTCACAGTAGAAAACATACACATAGTTAACAATAAAAATCAGAGCCATATAGGTGGCTATATTTAAACGAATCAAGAACGAGATAACAAATTATAACAATTCCGAGTTTACTATAAACTATAGCCGGTCGGCAACCCACGGTCCGCGGGCCGCATGTGGCCCGAGAAGCAATTTTTTATGGCCTGCACAAAGGTGGTTAATTTTTGTGTTTTATTTTCGTTCAATAAATTTTTCATACAATTTTCAATACTATTCAATTTTTTTTTTTTTTTATAAATAAAATTGTTGTTATTATCTAATCGGAGTCGAAGATAATGATGGCTGCATAGCTCAGTCATAGGATAAATTAAATATACTTATATGTATTAAAAATTAAAATTTTAAATATATTTAATCTATGTATTTAATACATATGTATCTAATATATTCAATCTATGGTCATAGTTACATTGCGTTTGTAGCAATTAGTATTACACCGTAATTACGCCCTTTACGTTTGACTGTTTGCGTTTGTAATAGTTTCATTTTACAAGTGAATTCAAACATTGTGGCGACTAAAAAAAGAAAAAGTTGTGATGAAAATCGTTTTTTTAATAATTCTTGGATTGATTTATACTTTTTCGTCGAAAACAAAGGTAAGCCATTATATTTAATTTATCAAAAAATTTAATTTTTTTTTAAAAGGAATTTTTTCCAGTAACATTCGTATTTTTTACGTTCATATTTCTATGTAAAATAATCAAATATAATATCAATACAATTATTAGTATATATCATATGTAAACAATTTTTTTTATTGTGGCCCTTGATAAATATTTGAAAAAAAAAATATGGCCCGCATGGTTCAAAAGGTTGCCGACCTCTGAACTATAGTTTAATTATTATCTTTCGCTGTGAACCGTTAACGTACACTAGAGCAAAGAAAAAATTATACACACATACAAACACCTATTTGGAAATGAACCGTTCTGTCGAACAAAACAGATATTTGGAAAAAACGTGTGTGGGTTACCAGTATTGTACGTATTATGCCCTAAAGTTGAAACCGCGTCGGTCAGGTTCTGGTCAGGTCGGGGACTGTGACTGTTTCCATCACAATACCGGTTCCGGACAGTTTTAGTTATTTAATCGCACTCGGGTGCATAACATTAAGGATGCAATAGAGTTATCTACATAAGTAATATAGTACAATTTAAGTAATATTTAAAATTTATTTTCTACTAATTCTACTGCTGTATAATATTATATCTATTGTAACGTGGTCGGGGATGACCAGTTAAATATATGATATTCAGGGAAGGTTTTCTAGTCCTTGTGAATATATTATACCGTAGCTCGGGAGCATAAAAGGAAAGATCTTGATATTACAAATAAATGTAGATTGATTTAGTTTAGTTATTATTATTTAATATACATATATAAATAAGACTTACGGACCATGGACTATATCAAGACAATATGGAGTTCAGCTACATCGGGAGAACGTCGTGGCAGAACTGCCGCGACTTGATGTAATATCGTAAACATGTAAATTAACGTGATGTCTACTCAGCAATATCCATATTACATGAGTAGACATTAATAATATGTAACAATCGTTACACTATTCTATGTATTAATTTAAAAAAGGAACTCGTCCGTATGTCTTAATAAAATAATACATTGAACGTTAATACGTGTCGTGATGTACGTTGGATGCAAAACTAAGCGACGAGCGAATCGTTCGTACGGATTCGTTCAGCATCCACATGCAATAACACACCATATACATTGTTGCGTTTGGTGAACATATTAATGTTCGTTAAACGTAATAATTTATATGGACTGTGACGGTTCACTTTACTCGCGTCGGGAGTAGTTTAGAGGCTCTGCGGACACGTGTGAATTGATTCAACTTCGGATATGTCATAATTAGTTACATTTAATGTGAACTGTACACTGTTGCCGTTGTTCAATCGGTTTATTTCGCAGCAATTGTTTTTTTTCTTTTTCAATTCGTCATCAGGATGTAATGAACTTGTATGCAGTTGTTCATATTGTTCTCTTCGAATATATCAACCACATAGTGTGCCGTGCAGTGTGTGTGTGTGCATTTTGAAAATCTTACCAATATACCAATTAACGAATAAAACGGTCGGAGTTTCCGTTGATTTTCACTTGCGTATAAGTGACTTGCTACTCACTTGCTACGGTGCGCGACGGTACAATTCTTAATATTATAATATTTAACGATATTGTAATTACACATATAATGCGTCAAAATAATGATAAACACAAATCGGATCACTTACTAAATATCAACAGTGGCTGTTTAAGAATGATCAATTATGTACAGTACATATTCATTCCGCTCCACTCCCACTGTTTTTCATTTTACCACTTACACATTCTAAGAATCATCAAGTTATCAAAGAAGCAAAGGAGTGTTTATTTTTCCAAATGAATAGAATGAATATAATTATAATTTAATTGTTTTCCTTCTACCTCGTTCTATTAAACACATATATACCCATATAAAATCAAATAAAAATAAATGGTTTGTAATAACCACTGCCCACTATTTGTTTCGTGTGCAGTGACTACATTTTACGGGAAGGAAGTAGGATAATAAATATATAACTGTTTCACTGATCGTGATTCAAGTACACTGATGATGGATTGAACTGAAAAGAAACGGTGATTTGATTTTAATCGATGGTCTAAGAACGAAAACGCTTCGAAATTGTAATTAGAGTATGAGATATTTTATTTATAAGTAAACATTAACAAGCAAATATTGATAAGGGGTAGTTTCAGGTGCTGTAACGGTACCACAGCGTTATCCTGGTCCACCTCTAATAACCACTGTATTAAACGTGTTGCCACCAAAAAAGAGGATCGATTGTTACATCAAAGAACAACGGACGAACAACTCATCTGTTCTCTAAAAATCGTCCGAATAAGTAATCTAAATGGACGGATGATGGAAGAATCAACACCATTGCTGCGTTTGTTGTGCTTTTTGCGATTTTTCTTAGATTCTTTTGACGGCCGTTGGCAGCTACTGTTTGGGTACGACCAGGAGCCTGAGTTTCTGAATTCAATTCCAGTACTAGGTGCTGATCATTTTTGAACTCGACCCTTCACAACCCTTGTTCACGGTTTCGAACATTCCGACTTTTTGCTCGGTCGATCCGTTGAAAATTTCGTGGCGATACGAAGTTCATTCGGATCTAAAATAACAGCCGGTCTTTTTCGTGATTTCTTTATCTTGGCAGTGCACTTTGATATTTTCGATCGGCCGTTGATCTCTTCTGACACATTCTGGGAAACTAAAAAGAAATATTGATACAATGATTAAATTTTATCTTGAATTGGAACTGATTAAGGATATAGTTTTCAAGTGTTGATGATGCTGAAAACAAAACCGTTAATGTACTCACGATTATCTTGTTCATCTAAAATAACCATATCGGAATCATTATTCTCATCGTCTATTGCTAAAGACGCGAAACGGTTTTTAGAGACATAAGTTTTTACATTAACGGGCATTTTCAATTTAGTTGGTTTAACTTTAAAACTAATTTGTTTCACGGCAGATTTGGTTTTTATATCGGCGTTCCGTTTTTCAGTCATTTTCAATACGACTGAAATAAAAAATATTATTTTTAAATAGTTTTAATTTTTTCACTGTTCCATACATATATATATAATAAATATTTTAATAAATATTACCTTTTAGTTTATTTTTCACGGAATCCTTTTCCGCCAATGGATTCTCCGCTACCATCGTGTTCTTCGGAACTATTGCATTGCCACAGATGGACTTAACTCTGCTATCAAATGTTCTTGATGCGTCATATACCCTCATGGTATTTTCCATTTTTCCTTTGATTGATTTCCGCACGTTTTTTGTATTTGATGTATTTGAGCAGTCTGTCGACTTTTCACCTGTCTTTTGCAACTTTTCGCGTCCATATTTTGATTTAATTTGAGGTTTTTCACCGATTTTCTTTTCGAACCACGTCTTCGTGTTGATGACATTTTCTATTCGTTTAAGACTTGGCTGTTGTTGCTCGTTCACTCTGGTGTCATCGTCGGGTAATCGTATATGGTCGAAACCTTCTGCTTTTTTTAACGATATCTTCCTACAAGTCATGTTCACCGATACAGCTTTTGGAAGATAATCTTCCTCGATATCGTCCTTGAATTTAGAATGTGTTTCAACAATGCGGAACTCTGTAGCGGTCCACGGGACGCGTTTAATGATAAATGTCTGAGTGAACTTGAATGTAGTGTCATATCCTGGACGCTTTAGTTCGCAGACCGATACAACTGTAAACTCAGTTGGATGCGGTCTATTGATAGTGGCCACTGAACGAACGGTAACTGTACATTTACTATATTCCATCCGCTTTATGAAACTTCCAATCAAATACATCCCGTACATTTCATGGTCAGGATGTCCATGTTGTGTGAATATGTATACAGACTGTTCGTTGAACATCTGTCGCAAAGCCATCGGATTTGGCTTGCCCATCAACGCATCAAAATATTTCGTACTGAATCCATTTCCGATCGATTCAGCCTCTTCATTGGTCATCACGTTGGTTTCGCCCAAGTTGTTGATCGCTTCCATGTTTGAAAAAATTTTTTTTCTAAACTCAAAGTGGATTATGTTTTTATTTTACAAAAAGTTTTCGTTAAAGATGTGCGAAATATTAAACGTCTATCTTCAACGAATGCTATTCATCGAATGATATATCAAAATCAATTTGTTGAAGGTAACGAAATTTATTAAATTTACGTTGCCATAGACATACTATATAATATATTTATCATGAAAATATAAATAAATATAGTATAGCCAATTAAAATAATATGTAATAAAGTATATTATTTATTTTATTGGGATTGACAAAAACAAATTAGAAATTGTATTATATAATCTACATTAAAATGCACCAATTTAATAAGAAAATAAATCAAATAGTACATGCCTGAGTTTTTCGAGCATTTTGCGTACAGTCCTAATAGTCTCAAAGCTTCAAAGGAGTTTATTTTGCGGCCTATTCGTCACATCGTATTACAACTTGAAATTGTTAACAATATAAAGATTCGTGCTACTCGTTCAAGGTTTCATTTAACATTTACTAATTTCTACAGTGTTAATACACTTATGTTTCTATAAATGTTTCTATTAATAAATTACGTTTAATATAATCTCATTGAGATTTTTTAGGTAACACGTCATACCGTTTTCGATAAATTATATACCAACAAAAGTCTTTACTGTCATATTATTTACAGTTTAAATCTACTTGAACTAGATGAATATAACGTGTTGTTAACATCAATATCAATAAACAGCGATACCTAAGTGCAGGCATGTAGTTCTGCCGTTACAGAACATCTCATATTTAAACTGCATATTTAATCTCCTAATAAACTACATAATGTCGGGTACCAATATTTAAATATATATTTAAACAAAGCTGAAGTATTTCGAAAAATTGACTATGTAGGTTCTATATTATAGATTCTACAACATTGGATAGTTTTATCAGACCCCGTCCGATATTATTAAATATTATATAATTAAAATGTATAAAGCATAATCATACTTTACAATAATTAAAAATTTACGCGAGAAGCAATCATAATAATAATAATAACAATAAAAATATTCAGTATAATAAAAACGTTGTACGAATTGGTAATAATATTTTATTTACATGGATTTCGTTTCGAAAATCGAATTTATCAAAACATCACCGTTTTCGACCCGTCGAAAATCGAGCTACATTACACTTGCGTGATTTTAACATTTCAGTACCTAAAAATGAAAAATTAGGTACATTCATATGTTTAAAATGGTTCAGAACTTAACAAGAACTATAAAAGTTTTCAATTAGACTTATCATGTAGCACTAGTCATCGTGTACGTGACCCATAGTAAACGTAATATTTAATTATTTATTTATTCGACGGAGAAAACTTCATAATCGAAAAAATAAAATAAATACACGCAATATAATATATAGTTTACAATCTTATAAGTTAACGTAGCATCGATCAAGTAATCGTATTATCGAGATTTTTGATAATGAATACGAAAAATGCAATTTGTATTAATTTGTTTTACGTTAATGATTGCAATCGGAAGGTTTTGCACTACACAAAGCGATTATAAATACACATGTAGGAAAACGGATCAAACAAACATAGACGGTTAAGTTATTTGCGTTGATTACCGTGCTTTCGATACTATTATAACAATACTGGTACACGGTTTTCGAATGTTGTCCGCGAACCTAATCAAAAGTCAAAACGAACTAACCGAGTAGAATATATTACTAAATAATCTCTGAATAATCTCATTTATTAATTAATATTAAAATTATTCTATCCGTCACCTGCGGTTTACGTTGTTGAAACGAGCCGAGAAATTATTACTAGTCAATAACGTTCAGATATTATTCCGGACGCGACGTACACTCCGACGAAATCAATTGTTTTTACATTGTCGTAAAACCCAACGCGAACGTTACGCTATTATTTTATTTCTGTATTTATTATTATTTTTTATTTTTTTTTTTTTCATCTGGTGCTCACGTTTTTATTCGTGACGTTGTAAAACGATATACGACAGTAATATTTAATCCCATTGCTGCGCAGTATTAATACATTATCGTTTGCTTTGTTCATACGTCAACGTTCCAATTTTTTGTCTTGTTTTTCAACACGTTAAACAAACAGCATTTGATCTGCGATGAACGTCCTGCGTGATGCAAGAACTCGTCTTGGAAGAATCATGACGTTTAGAACTCGAATCGAACGCCGTATTCGTACACCTCAGCGTACCGGTGTACGTACGCGGTACATATTTCTCCGCCACCGAACGGTGTAACCGTTAAAGATATACCGAGCGGTGAAATCGTCGTCCGTACGGAGCGAACGAATGTGTAACATTCGAAGTTATTGAAACGTTGTCCGCGGTGCAATGGGTTGTAACGAAATGAATAACGTTTGTACGGTGACGACACGAGGCGCGGTTCAAAAAGTTGTGCCGAAAAAATGAATTTCCCGTCCGAAAACACTCGGCACGATAAGTGCGCGTATTACACGTGTATACTTTCTGACACTTTACGGGGACCACCGATAAAAGCGAATGCATCGAGTTATTATTATTTTTTTTTTTTTTTAATAATAATTTTAAACCGCGGTACGCGAAAAATAACTGAAATTTTAAACTTTTTTTTTTTTTATCGCATGAGTAACAACGGTGTAACCTATTATTCTAGAAAATCTTCGGCGCATTTTCTCCTGTATCATTTTTATGTTCGTCCGCAGACCTCGGCAACAAAGGATAACTTTTTCATAGCGTGCACGCCGAGGGACTAGAAAAATAATAATAATAATAATAAATAAACCCGTGAGCTGCGACAAAGCCGTACAAAGATAGGGGACAATAGGGCCCCGCTGGCCGGTCAGTGGCTCATGATGTTATTATATCGGGGACTCCGTTTCGCAATAAAGACCGGACTGCCGGAAAAGGCGAATCAACGGCCGACGGCACGTCATAACGTTCCGCTAACGCGCGCGTGGTGTTCCGTCACGATAATATTCCGAGGCCGAAAACGTGTAATAAGTAAAAACGAAATTCCCCGTCATCGAGCTCGCCGGACACGGTTATAAAAACCAAGCACTCATAAGTTCGCTTTTCATCCGGCCCGGGTCCGTAATATTATGTTATGCGACCGGAGAAAACGGAGACCGACCGAACCGACGAACAGCGATCGCATATCACGACGGTCCTCAAATAAACGTCACGTGTACGCGCCCCGTGGTGTCGTTTTCGATGAGTAATTCAAGTTCTCTCGTTATGCGCGTGCGACGTACGATTAAGATCGCGTACGCTAGCACGCAGCAAAAATGTAAAATTCAGCGAATATTCAACGCCGTTGTCTACGAGACCGTAACGTATTACTTTATCCAAGAGACCGGCGCGTGCGACGTCAACGGGATGACGGGGTGCCCCGTCGACACACCGGCCGCCGTAATCGTACGACAACCGCACGTGTAAACGAAATAAAATAATAAAAAACACACTGCCCCATAAACGTTTGGGGAACGCGACGGGAATTATTTTTATTTTTTTTTTTTTTTTTTTTTATTCGTTTGATCGTTTATTTTCGCGGCGAATATTTTCAGCTGAAACGATAAACACTGCGCGAACACTACACGTATACGCGTATACGTTTAATGCGATACACGCGAGAAAGGTAAATACCTAATAAAATATTTAACAACCCATATATTTGCATTAACCAAAACACATAAAAACGTTTATAACTCCGCGGAAAGAAATGCAAACAGACAAATGCGCTCCTCCCACCGGCTGTGAGTGCGAACAAACACTTCGTGTCCGCCGAGAAAATGCGACCGGGGAATTTCACGTGTTAGGCGTGCGCCACCACTACCGTGCGCCTAATAATTCAATAACCAGGTGATTTAAGCAGTTAAATATCTCCAAGGTTTTTTTTTTTTTATGTTTACTTATTTATTTTACACGCTAAACCGTAGTAAACGTAATACGCAATAAAATATTCAAGCATTAACAATTCACAAATCACATTCATAAAAACAAAAACCGTATAATAATAACAATAATAAAAATCGTAACAATCGAAAATCGATTCTATTGACAACGTGCGATAGTAGTAGCTCATCAACGTCCAACTTCATCCTGAATTCGGTCGAAAACGAGAACGTAGTGACTCGGTAGCATATCCGATTGTTCGACACAACGGCCGAAATGCTATTCTAATTGTCTGGACTTTTGTTCTGCCAAAAATTAAAAAAATTAAAAAAACGTTATTACTACTAATCGAAATAATGACGCATGAAATTTGCTTTTCAAACGAGATATCTTTGGCGGTGTTTTATTATTTTTATATTTGTTTCACGTTAACATCAGTATTGTCGCACTTCAACGGATAGAAATTAAAAGGGAAAAATTACGTTGACCCGAATTTACAACGTTGTTATAAAAAATCGGATCGAGTTAAACCGGACCGAATTCTATTACAACGGCAGAGAGTAAAACGTAAAGACTACGCGGTGTTGCACGAGGAACCTACTCGTATGATGTGCCAGCACACTGCGTATTTATGCGAAATATGCCGATGTTATTATGTTAATGTGTGTCATCGTATAGCTGATGACCACAGCATGCCAAAACAAAAGGAAATATGGCGTTTCTTGGTTACACGATGGCGGTGTAATAAAACTACCTAGAGCAAAATGCGCCAGTTGCCCTCGCATATTATATATACGATATGATTTATGTATATATTATATGATAGCAGATTGGACTTCTTAAAAACTGTTATTACAAAACATAATAGGTACATACAATAATATTACAATTAAAAATGTTTAATTTTTTTGACAAATTGTGTGTTACCTACTTATAAACAGTATATTTATTTTAACATAACATTCATTGTTAATTATTTACATATTTACCTCCCCGA